TGCCACAACATGTGGTCACAAACTACTCAGGAGGCTGAAGCAGGAGGGCATACACAGGTCCAGGGAGAATTGAGAGCTGCAGTAAGCTATGATTCATGCCAACTACAACGCACATACCACGCTGGGTGACAGAGTGAAACTGCATACAAAAAAAACAAAAAAGAGAAAAAAAAAAGTATGCTTAGTGTGAATGTGAACTCTTGACACGTAGAAAGCCACCAGGTGTTTAATTTCTTTAATATGGTTCACATCCAGTAAATAGCCAAGCGGGACTCCCAGAGAGTGTCAGCCTGTAGGAATGACCCAGAACCTGTTGGAAGCACAAGGAAAGAAGGCCACTGGGGACATAAAACCGGGGAAGACACAGACACTGCCTCACCCTGCCACACCTGAGACCACATTCCTGACTCCCTGTCTCAGACTGGCTCCAGGTGGAAATCCCCCCAAGAGCGGCCCTTCGTCCCCGTGACGGATCTCCCCTCTTGAAGCAGCTCCAGTTACAAGAACTCACGCTCAAATTCCCACAAAACTTAGGTACTGCCTGCTCGCATCGAGGGGGGCCCAGGGTGGCGGGGAAATTGACAATGTAAAGTAATAATAATGGAACACATTTGCTAAAGACTCATTTTATCTCCCTGAAAAGCACCAGCTCCTGGAAATCATGCAGCCCTTTTGAGACAGAGTCTTGCTCTGTTGCCCAGGCTGGAGTGCAGTGGCACGATTTCTCCCTTGGGGCATAGGCAGACGAAGAGGACAGGGAGGGCCCTAGAGATGTCCACTGGTGGGGGCAGGGCCCTGCTAACTTGGGCCACAGACACGGATTTCACTTGTGCATTTCTTTGCTTTAATTTCACCCCAACTCCTGGCATAAGCTCCATGTCACGCCGACCACTGTGTCCTCCCCCATACATCACAGGGTGGGCACTCATATATCTCACTGCAGGGACTAATGTCCATTAAATGTTTACTGGATGTCGGATTCTGTGTTAAACCCAAACGTTCAGGGTAAGTACCATGACTGGATTCCTTTTCTTTTCTTTCTTTTTTTTTTTTTTTT